GCCAGCATCCTCGGGAGGCTGGAGGAGGCAGGGAAGGACTCTCCCCTGGAGCCTCTGGAGGGGGGTGGGGTAATGCGACATCTTGATTTTGGACTTATGTCCTCTGGGACTGTTGGATCATACATTCCTGTAGGAGACACCTGGTTTGTAGTAATTTGTGATGCAGCCCAAGGAAATGAATGCAATCACCTTATCCAAAGAAGTGCCCCCCACTCCCTGCCTACCCCGTTTTTCTGCATTGTCATGCTGACTTCCTTCATAACACATCACAGCCTGTGACTTTGTTTCCCTGCTCGTCTGTCTCCTGCCCTGGACCCTGGTCTCCAGGGGGAGCAGGGACCAAGTCTAGATCATAGAGTCCCCAGGCTCTATGGCAGAGCATGGCCCTCCTTAGGGGCCTATAGATACGTATTTCCAAATGAGATGTGGTTAGAAATGGGTACGGAACTCAGAATCAATCCTCATGCCCCATGTCTGCGGCCCTGAAAATAACAAAGACCAAGGTGCGTGCGCGCATAGACACAGACACACACACACACACACACACACACACACACCACGAAAAGCTAAGCCAGACTTCAGCAGGAGATTTTACAACTCTCCCACGGGAAGCCTGTTCTTACCCAGATATTTAATTGAACGTGTACGTCAAGTCAGCTTGCAACAAGTCTGGGAACTCACACATGGCGCCACCAGGGCTGAACCAGCTCCAGGAAACCTCATTAATTTCTAAATGACGAATGATTTCACTTCCCAGCCATGGTCTGGAGGCAATGCCATACAGGGGGACAGATCTTCCAGGGCCAAGTTTTCATCCCAGCTGTTGTGCTTTCTGGCCCAAGATTTTTCCCAGGAAGAAAGGAAGGAAGGGAGAAAGGAAGGAAAGAAGGAAGGAAGGGAGGGAGGGAGGGAGGGAGGAAGGGACAGACGGACAAGCTTTGGGAGGGAGATTGCTCTTGTGTCCTTGACTCGCCGAGGTTGGTGGCCTTTACAGGGTTGAGGACAAAGTGATTTGATCACAGTGGAAGTCGGGCTGGATTCTTGTCTCCCATCATCGTCATTCCTGGCAGGGTTATGATCTGTCTAGCACTTATTCTATGGGACGTGGTACCTACATTTACACTTTTCTGTGTTGTCCCATCATCTTCACGCACACCGTCCTGATGGTAATCCTGTGAGCCACCTCTTATCCGCCTCCTTTTCACAGATGTGGAAATGGAGTTCCTGCTGAATTAAGAGACACGCCCAGGGCCCCAGAGTCAGAGCCCAAATTCGAATGCGGGGTACCTGGCTCGAAAGTCTCTGTTTTGAACCCCTGTGAGGTCATCTCTCAAGCGTCTTGGTTTCTTTTTCATTTCTTAGAAACTGCCATATTTTCTTGGCTTTGAGAAACACCATCTAGCTCTTAATTAATTAATGAGGTCGACGAATACCCGTCGGGCACTCACCATCTCCTGAGCGCTCTACTGGAAACTCAGGGATACAATCATACAAGAGGAACCTGTTCAAGGAACCCACAGCTTAACAGGAGAGACAGGAGGGAGCTGCCCCCCATACTAGGTAACAGACACTAGAATAGGGAGACCGTGGGGAGCTGGGGGCACAGAGCAGACTGTGAACGTGGGTGTAAGGAAAGACTTCTGAGGGGCGCCTGGGTGGCTCAGTCAGTTAAGTGTCTGTCTTTGGCTCAGGTCATGATCCCAGGGTCCTGGGATCAAGCCCCACATCGGGCTCCTTGTTCAGTGGGGAGCCTGCTTCTCCCTCTCTTGGCCCCTCCCCCTGCTCTCTCTTTTTGTCTCTCTCTCTCAAAATAAATAAAAATCTTAAAAAAAAAAGATTTGCGAGTAAAACTTAAAAGGCTTAAGAAAAACTAAGTATTTAAATACTCAATTTTAACAAGTTGAACATCATTCTAAATAAAAGCACAGTATTGTACACACAAAAACATCCCTCCCAGGGCGCCTGGGTGGCTCAGTCGTTAAGTGTCTGCCTTCGGCTCAGGTCATGATCCTAGAGTCCTGGGATCGAGTCACACATTGGGCTCTCTGCTCAGCGGGAAGCCTGCTTCTCCCTCTCCCACTCCCCCTGCTTGTGTTCCCTCTCTCACTATGTCTCTCTCTGTCAAATAAATAAATAACATCTTAAAAAAACAAAAAGACTTCTGGAAGAAATGAGCTTAGCTTGCTCTCAAGAGCAAGAACAAAGTATTTATTTTCATACCTATCTTGCTGCCAAAAGGACTGAAAGAGGCTTAGTGTCCAGCTCATGGTAAATGATCAATCAATATTTGGTAAACGAATGGCCAGTGAAAAAGAACTTTGCAATTCTTTCCCTTTTTGCTTTGGCTGCCGGGAAGCTCAGAACCAAGATGGTGGCAAATGAGATCTTGGGATCCTGAGATCCCAGATTTCTTCCGCACCCCCCTCTCCTCACCCCCACCCCACTTGACATTCATGTAACTCCTTCTTTTCTACTTTCTGGTTTTGTAATGTAAGTTCTGATCATGCCTTGTTAATGTAATATGCTTCTGACTCACCAGCCACCTGCAATTTGGGGACAGGGAAGAGGGGTAGGGGATGTTTTCTCTGGCCTCCCCTCCTCTCACCTGTTCATCCCCTCCCCCCCACCCCACACTCCCCTTGCCAATCACTGTTCTCATCAGTGGAACTCAGAACAAATGTTCCCCACGTGGTGATGAGTCACCATGAAGGGAGCTGGGCAGGAGCCGGGGAGGGAAGTCTAGAAGCCAGTGGGCTGGGCGGCCCAGGATGGGGAGCCAGGGCAGTCAGAGAGCACCAGAGGAAGGGGGGGGGGGACTGTATGTGGAGGAGGAAAGGCAGGGTTGGGTCTTTAGGAAATACTTGGGTCTTGAGAACAGGGGCTGCTTTCAGTGTCAGGGGAGCTAGGGGCTGGCCTGATACAGCGGTGTTCCAGAACTTGAACTCCCTGTGGAGTCCCTGGAACCTGTCTGGTCCCCACTCCCAGTCCAGCTCTGTAATACTGGTGCCCCCCTGATCCCCGAGGCTGGACCTGCCCAGCTCTGGGCTACAGTAAGCCTCTGTCTCCGCTGCCTGTGCTCCGGTCTCTGACCGAGCCCCGAACCCAGCACTTCCTCCCTCATCTTCCCACCTGTGCAGACGGTGGCACATCTGTCTGGCACTCAGGCCCCAGTTCTCACTGCTTGTCTTGTCCCTCTTGTTCTCACACCTTCAACACCGTTGCCTGTTTTATCTTCAGAATATACCTGGAATCCGACCCCTTCCCAGCGGCCCCTGGTCACCCTCATCCCTAACAGGGTGATGGTAGTAATGCCCCCATGGGCTTCCCGCTCCTTGTCTTTGTTTTCTCAGGCAGTCTGGGTGGCTTAAAACCCCAGAAGTGTGTTGCATCACAGTCCAGGAGGTCGGAAGTCTGAAATGCAGGGGTGCGCGGGGCTGGTCCTCCCGGAGGCTTCAGGGGAGAATCCGGTCCCTGCCTCCCCGGCTTCGGGTGGTGGCATCGATCCCCGGAAGCCCTTGGTGTGGGGCCACGTCACTCAATCTCTTTCCCCCATCTTCACCTCATCTTCTCTGTGCTCTCGCCTGCCTCCTCCCAGGGCACTAGTCCTTGGATGTGGGGCCCCCTCGAATGCAGATGATCTCATGCAGAGACCCCTCACTTCAATCCATCTGCAAAGACTCTCGTCCCAGATCAGGTCATCTTCAGCGGTTCCGCGGGATGTGAGCTTGGGAGCCACCTGTCCGTGCCCTGCCCCCCTCTGCTGTCTACTCTCAGTATAGCAAGCAGAGCAGTCTTGAGAAACAGAAGTTAAACTGTGGGATTCTCTTGTCCCAAGCTGCCCGCCTGGTGGCCCCTTTCATTCGGACGGAAGTTCACAATCCTGTGCGTGCTCTGCTCTTGGCTCTCTGTCTTCATCTCCTGCATCCCCTCTCCCCTGTGCTCTCTTCACGCCGCCCCTGCCAGCTTCCCCGGGTGCCTCCATCCCACCAGGCACAATCCGTCCTGGGACTCTGCACCTGCTCCTCCCTCGTCTCCCCACCCCACCCTTCCTGACCTTCATTCTGCAGGCTGCCTCTCTCACCTCCTTCCCGGGGCTCTGCTTGAATGTCACCTCCTCCGTGAAGCCACTGCTCCAGCCCATTCTGTGCTGTGTTCACTGCCCTCCCCAGCCACTTGTCACCATCTCTCAACTCTGTCTTATTGATCTGTTCACTACTTGACTCTACTCAGTACAGTACTCAGGAAACATGCTGAGTGAGTATGCGAATGAACACGGCAGTACCTCCCTCGCGGGGAGCGTGAGGATGCGTGCTTGTGCGACCTGAAGCCTGGCATAGATGAGTCTCCACACCTGTTGTTACTTTCAAAAATTAGTTGATTTTATTCTTGAAGTTTTGTCGACACACAATGTTCTGTTAGTTTCAGGGGTAGGACACAGGGATTGGACAATTCTATACATTGCTCAGTGCTCACAGCAACAGGTGTATTCACCATCCGTCATCATGCAACGTTATTACAGTATTATTTATTATTTTTGCTACACTGTACTTTTCATCCCTGTGACTTATTTATTTTATACCAGAAAGTGTGTATGTCTTCACCCCCTTCATCTATGTCACTTATCTCCCCACTCTCTCCTCTCTGGCAAATGCCAGTTTATTCTCTGTATTTAAGAGTCTATTTTTTGTTTGCTTGTTTGTTTGTTTTGTTTTCTGGATTCCATGGATCAGTGAAATCATACAGTATGTGTCTTTCTCTGTCTGACTTGTTTCACTTATGTAACAGAATATTACTCAGCCATGAAAAAGAGTGGATCTTGTGGTTTGTAACGTGTTGTTATATTATCATCATCATCATCAGACATGGTAGTAACAATGGTGTTAATTTTTTCTCCCAGCATCTGGGGGCTGGCCCATGGGTGGTGCTCAGTAAGTGTTTGTTGTCTGACTGAAGATTGTTGGTAACTCTCCTCTGCCTGTTGTCCTCCTCTCTCTTCTAAGCCATGCATGGGACATTTGTGATTCTGCTGCCGCTCAGCCTGATCCTGATGGTGTTTGGGGGGATGACGGGGTTTCTGAGCTTCCTCCTCCAAGTCTCCATCCTCCTCCTGCTCACAGGGACCCTCTTCCTCTTTGGAGGTAGGTGCCCCCCTTGCATGGAGTGTGGGGGCTCCAGAGGGGCTGCACGTGAATCCTCAGCCAGGGAAGGGCGGGTGGGCATCCTCTCCGGGGCTTAGTTTCCCCATCTGTGACATCAGAGCTGGAAGGGATGAGTGGGTCCCAAGAGAGAAGCAGAGGGTGGGAGCAGGTCCTGAGGATTGTTTTCCTGGTTTCACAGATGACCCTGCAGCTTCTGCGTGGGCTACTTTATGTTGCAGTACTGTGGGCTGTGGGCTGGCAGGAGACCCTCGCTCTCTCATGTGCCTCTGCCCTTCTGACACATCTTGCTTTGATCGATCGATGGATTGATTGATTAAAACCCGGGCAATGCCTGGGTTAATCCCGTTTGTTTGGCAGACCTGAGGCTTTCAAAGATGGGATCCAGCACATGGCTGGTGTCCTAAGGCCTCCCTCCTTCCTGTGGGCTTGAAATTGTCCCTGCTTAAACACCGAGCAGGAACAGAGGTGATGCACACACTTGGGATCCATGGAGGAAAAGGACCAAAAAGAATGTCTGGTGGTGAAAATAGTGTGAGGCTCAGATGTCCTCCGACCTCTACTATTATTGATATTGGCATTAAGAGGTTACCCAGGGACTAATTCTCGAAACCACTCTGCACACTTGGCGGGAAGTCTAATCCGCGCTGTGCCATGGGGGGAGCCTCGAGCCAGGCTACGGAGCACTTGACGTGAGGCAGATGCCCAGGGAGGCCGAGACGTTCATTTACATTAATTTAATTTCAGTTGAAATAGCCCCCTGTGGCCGGCAGCTGTGGCGCTGAACGGGGCTTCTGTCATTCCCGGTCTCTGGGGACCCACCGTGGGCCAGCCCTGTGCTGGGTGCCGGGGAATCCATAATGAGCCCCCTGGAGCTCACAGCCCATTGGGGGAGATGGCCATTAGCTAAGCGATCTCACAAACAAATGCAAAATTGCCATTCTGACCTGGACAGTGACAGTGTGTGGTGCTGTGAAACTACAGGGTGGACTTGACCTACTCGGGGAGGTCCTGGAATCGGGTTAGATGAGCTGAGATGTGGGGATGGACAGGAGTTTCTGGTGGTGGGAGGGAATGGGAAGGGAAGGGAGGGTGCACTGGGTAGGGGACCAGCATGGGCAAAGGCCCTGTGGTAGGAGGAGCATGGACAGCTGGAGAGGCGGGCTGGGCAAGGAGGAGGAGGAAGAGGAGCCTGGGTGTTTGATCTGCTCTCCTTTGCCTCTCCTGCAGCCTTGCTGACCCTGGCTGGAATCAGTGTCTACATCGTGTACTCGGCGGCCGCCTTCCGGGAGGCGCAGTGTCTCCTGGAGGAGAAGGCCCTCCTGGACCAGGTGGACATCCGCTTTGGCTGGTCCCTGGCCCTGGGCTGGATGAGCTTCATCGCCGAGCTGCTCACCGGGGCGGCCTTTATGGGGGCGGCCCGCGTGCTCAGCCTGAGACAGAGGCAGGACCGGGCCATATGAGCCCGATGCCTGGTCTGGTGGGAGGCAGGGCCCTGGCCTCAAAGGCCACTGCTATGTGCTGAGCTCCGGGCCTGGCTGTCATGTCCGTGCCTGGTGTGGTGTGTCTGTGTGTTCGTGCACGTGTGTGTCCGTACGGGCTGGAGGAGGCCTCGGGAATGCAGAACGCACCTCACCTGAAACCACAAAATAGCCCCTTGATTATAACCAGAACTTTCCAGATTGCAGCCCCTGTGGGCCTCCTCTGGCTTCATTGCAGTGTTCACCCCCACTCATTGCATCAGCTCCCCTTCTTTGCTAAGGAATAGAAGATCAGAGAGTTTAGGTAAGCTGCACAAAAGCGCACAGCGAGCTGGTGGTCTATTCCTTGCTCCAAGAACAGTGCTCAGTCCCTTACCACAGTTTTCCTGAGTAGGTTCAATGGACTGGCTGCAGCATGATTGCTGTGTGGGGGGGTGCTGCACCCCAGACTCTGGGCCTCAGACCTCAGAAGACCTGGAGCCCCCGCCTAGGGCGCAGTGTGAAACGGGGTGGCGAGAGCAGAAATCTGGGCTGCTCACCAACCGGGCGGTGCAAATGTCCCCCTCCCCCCCACCTCAGCGAGGTGCGCGCTTGTCCCGTCCACAGTCCCGGAGCTCGACAGGCCGGGCTGACTTGGAGCGATGATTCTCAGTGACCGGGGCTCAGTACTGCAACATAAAGTAGTCATCCCGGACATGGAAGCCCCTCCTAGCTTTCTGGTGGTTGGCGTGCTGTTCCCCTCATTGTGTCACTTCAGAGATCACAGGGAGAGCCAACGGCAAGCCCACCGCCAGCAGGAAGAGCAATCAGCAAGCTTGAGACTCATAAGAAGGAATCATTAGCAGATTCGCCTGAGGAGGGAAGAAGGATCAGCAGACTCACAACCAGTAGGGAAGAATATCCTCAAACACACAGTAGTCACTCCTGGACCCAAGTGCCACCTGTGAGCCCTCGTCAACTCACTCACACCCGTCATAGAGTAGTTTCCCCATGAATGTGTTGACTGAGCCTGCTTCCCTAGCCTGAAGTCCGAGACTGGCAAGATTCAGACAACTGGAAAAGCAGGAGGAGGAGGGTCCTGTACCCCCTGAGGAAGACCGATTAGCAGATCCCAACCCTCAACGGAATTTAAAAAATGTGCAGGGGCCACCTCGGGCCAATGACATCATAGTCTCTCAGAGTGGGGTCTGAGCATGGCTAGCATTTGAACAAATCTTAAGATAGAGAGTGGCCTGGCATTTGGTTTACCCCAATGCACCTCCGACTTTTATGGGGATCTTGTGAAAATGCAGGTTCTGATTTAGGAAGGAGGTGGAGGTGGGGCCTGCAGTTCTGCATTTCTTTCTTTTTTTTTTTTTAAGATTTTATTTATTTATTTGACAGAGACAGAGACAGCGAGAGCAGGAACACAAGCAGGGGGAGTGGGAGAGGGAGAAGCAGGCTTCCTGCTGAGCCGGGAGCCCGATGCGGGGCTCGATCCCAGGACCCTGGGATCATGACCTGAGCCGAAGGCAGTCGCTTAACCAACTGAGCCACCCAGGCGCCCCAGTTCTGCATTTCTAACAAGCCTCCGGTAAGGAGGTTTTGTAAAGTTGCTTGCACGCACACACACACACACACACAATGCACGCACACATGCACAAGCACACACACATCGCACATGCACACACACGGTCTTCTTTCCTTCATGGGGCAGGGTTTTTAGGTTGCTTCTGCACCAGCAAAGGAGGTGTGGAGTCCGTCATGGGGTGAGTCCTGGTGACACCATTAGCTGTGTGGCCTCAGTGGGTCTAGGTGGGGGACGGCACCCACCTCCTTGGTCCTTTGGAGTGTTCTCCAGGGAAGCCTAGCTCCTTTTGGGCAAACATACGTCTGGGTGTGATGTGGGCTTTTCTCAGTATGCATGGTGGGGGTGGCTCTAGGATATGAAGTGAAAGATTCTCATGGAGCTTGCTGATGGGGTGATCTTCAGGGACTAATTGTAACCCCTGCTCCCTCCCCCCAAAATTCCATCCCTCCTTTTGTCCTCGTGTTCTAGCCCACGGGAATGGAAGTGTGCAAAGTGGCTGCACACCCGAATCCCCTGGGGTGGTGCCTCTCACACTTCAGTGTGCCGAGACTCTTCGGGGTGTCCCAATCCTCCTGGCGGGGGGTGGTCCCCAGGGGCTCTCTGAGTCAGCAGGTCCAGGTGGGGCCCGAGATTTCACAGGTCTGACCAGCTCGCAGGTGATGTGGATGCTGCTGATCTGGGTCCCTGTCCTTTGTGACCCTGATCTGGGGCATTTGCTAAGTGACAGCTTGCTGCACATTAGAATCACCTGGGCATCTTTTAAAAACCCCAATGCCCGGGCTGAATCCTTGCTCTGATTGTACCTCGGGGTGGAGTTGATAGTGTTTAAAGACCTCTCTGGATGATTCCAAGGTACAGCTGAGGTTTTCAACCTATTCCTGCAGGATTCAGAGTCGTGAGATGTGGGGAAGGCCTGGGGAGACTTAGGTTTAAGAAAATCCCCCGGGAAGTGCCATTGGCTTAGCAGGTTTGTGACCATTGGCGTGGATCATAAGGTGAGTGCACCATTAGCAACATCATGACGTCACTGTCCTCACCACGACACCATCACCCTTACCATGACATCATGATGACCTCCTCCTCCTCACCATGGCTGATGCTCACTGAGTACTTATTACACATCCGCACTATTCTACATGCCATCAGTCACTCAGTCACTCAACAAACACTTGGGGAAGGTCATTGCATGCTAGGAACTAGCAAGCCCTTGCTCTCAGAGCTGCCACATGATTGAGGACAGGCATGCAAAACATATGGTCGGTGGTGAGGACTATGGAGAGAAGCGAGGCAGGGTACAGATGAGGAAACTGAGGCACAGACAGGCTAAGTTAACTGGCCCGAGGAAAAGAGAGAAAGGGCTACAACTGGGATGCAAGTTCAGATCTGCCTGATTCCAGGATGGTTTCCTTTCCATTCCTGCCAGCCAGGCAGCTCTGTCCGCCGGTGGGTTCAGGACATAGCTGCCACTTCCTGTCCGTCTAGTCTGTAAAAGTGCAAACTGAGCGGATTGCTCACAAGGCCCCATGGGGAGGGGGGCGAGAGCAGAGTTACAAAATCAATTACACAAGTCAGGGAGAGAAATGAAAGTTTTCGCAAAATGAGGGCAACCCTGCTAATGAGAGAGTGGTCTCTGCTGCCACCTGCTGGTCGTATGGTGGAACTGCATCAGAGGCAGGCCCTGGTACTCAAATGCGTCTGAGGACGTCCGTTTTCAGCCCTCAGGCTGTCCAGCTACAGGTCTGACCCTGCAGGGTAGCGGCTCTTACCTGGGGCAAGTCTCCATTCCCTCCCCACCTGGGACATTGACGATGTCTAGAGACGTTTTTGGTTGTCACAGCTGGGGGTGAGTGCTCCTGCATCCGGAGGGCAGAGGCCAGTGCATGGGATGGCCACCAGGATGGAGAATTTATCTAGTCCCACCTGTGAATCATGCCAAGCTTGAGAAACCCTGCTAGAGGCACAGAAACGAATTATAAAAGAGAGCACGTGTGTATTCAAGGAACTAATGACATAGTTGAAATAATTTCATTCATTTGATAAACATTTACCAAATACCTACCATGTGTCAGGGACTGTTCTAGGGTCTGGGGACACATTAGTGCAGATGGATGACAAGATCCCTGCCCTTACGCCTGGGTGGCTCAGTTGGTTAAGTGACTGCCTTCAGCTCAGGTCATGATCCTGGAGTCCCGGGATCGAGTCCCGCATCGGGCTCCCTGCTCAGCGAGGAGCCTGCTTCTCCCTCTGACCCTCCCCGCTCTCATGTACTCTCTCTCATTCTCGCTCTCTCAAATAAATAAATAAATCTTTAAAAAAAAAAAAGATCCCTGCCCTTACTAGCTTACATGGAAACGGATGACACATACATAAACCAATGATACATATGAGAAATTCAGGGAGTATTAGGGCTATGCAGAAAACAAAGCATGAGATGGAGGGTGGCTGGGAGATATGTTACTCCAGGAAGGACAGTCAGGAAGGGCCCCCTGGAGGAAGAAACATTGTGCTCAGGGCCTCTTGGAGGAGATAGCATTGTGCTGAGACCCAAGTGAGGAACTTGCCACGTGGGGAAACAGCAGGCCAGGCAGGAGACAGTGAGTGCAAAGGCCCTGAGGTGGACACAAGTTCATGTGTTTGAAGGGAAGACAGAAGGAGAGTGGAGGGAGTGTGGTAGCAGGTGACTAGAGATAGGAGGTGGGTAGGTGGAGGGGATGAGGAAGAGGGAGAGGAGGTGGCTGGGTTACCTGTGGTCCATGATGAGGAGGTGCTGATGATAAGTGGGATTTGGGATTCTGTGGTGTTCTGTTCTGTCCTAGTCTATCCTATTCTATTCCATTCTGATTCTATATTGAGGGCAAGGAGACATCTCTGGGTGAGGGGATGCATAGGCCCTAAGACTGTGGTTCTCCACCCCACCTTCATATTAGCATCATCTGGGGACTCAAAAAAGCCAAACTTCTAACATTTGGGCTTCGAACTTCTAACACCGGGGAGCCTGGAGGCTTGCAGAGCAATCACCATTAGCCCCATTTTGCAGGTGAGGAGCCTGAGGTGCACAGCAGGACTTGCTGGGTGGGGCGAGGGCCAGGGCTGAGACCCTGCTCCAGCGTCCTTGCCCACTTCCTCTCTCTGTCCCTCTGACATGGGGCTGCTCACCCCCCTCCTCCAGAGTCAATGCCCTGGATTTCATTTATAGCAAAAACATCTTTGCTTCCCCTCAAGTGAATTTCCACCTGTCATTTCCCCAGCACGACTCCTGGGCCACTGGTATTAGGCCCCCCGTGAAGGCTGGAGGCGGACTCAGCGCCTCTGCCTCTGTCCAACAGCAGGCTGGGCTTTGTCAAGTATTTATAGGTTGGGTCCCCTCTGGAGCACGTGGCGGATGGGGGGCAGGGGGGTGGGAGAGATGGAAACACACATACACGTGCATGGAGACCTGGAGAAATGCATAATCGCAGTAAAAGAGAGACAGAGAGAGGGGTGCGGGGAAGGCAGAGGAGGAAGAACGAGCTGGCAGAGAGACAGGGAGGAGAGAGAAAGCAGAGAGCAGCACGGACTTGCAGCAGCAGGATGGAAGGAGGTGCAGGGAAGGAGGAAAGAAAGGGAGGGGACCCCAGGGAGACCCACACAGAGAAAGGAGAGGCAGGAAAAACAGAAGCGGACAGCGAGAAACCAGAGATGGAGACAAATCAGGGGTGGAAGACCCCTCGGAGCTAGA